TGCCCTTTGCTTAAAACTATAAATCACTACAGTTTTCTAGTGATGATCTTTGCTGATTTCTGAAAGTGTGTTTCTCTTTTGTTTAAATCTGACAACAGTATGCTGTCAGGATGGATTACTGCAGCACACTTGTTTCGTACTTGTGAAGATATCTTGAAGTTTGGCTCGTTAAACTCCGAAGGCAAGGCATATGGCTTACTTCAGTTATGAAAGTTGCAGAAAGAATGCTTGAAATTTAAGTACAAAACTGTGATGATATTTTATAATCTAAAGACACTCATTCTGTAAATTTTACTGTTCATACACTTCCTTTTTTGAAAAAACACACTAAAAGATAGAAAGGGAAATATATTTTCTTTAATAAGTAAGCTGTACAACATAATGTATTGCAAATTGTCAGCAAAAACATTATTGCTATTTATTGTTTTTGGAACTGACTATATTTTAGTGCTATTAAATTTTATCATTTTGTCACTTCTGGGGATAAATCTGACTGGTTAACTTTGCTCTTGGAGCCTTGAATTCATGGGGATAGTGAGTGAAAAATCCCTCAGGATTTGAAATGATTGAAGGAAATAATAGAGCATGTTATGTTGTAGTCCTTTCCCCTTTGAAAATTGACCATCTAGATACTAACATGAGCTCCTCTGTCTAGAATTAACACAGTTTGACAAAGAAAATACTGAAATTTAGAGATAAGAGGCTCATATTCAGCAGCTATTTTCTATATTTCTTTTACTCATGTGTTAGGGTTTTATCTAACTGAACTGAATCTTTTTGTAGTTTCCTTTGTCCTTACCTGGATTAGAAGAAGAAAACTGTGAATTAGACTAAATATTGTCCATCTTTAGTCAGGGAAAGGTAGCGACCTGGTGGTAATGATCAGCACTTTTTCTGTCTCAGACACTTGAATAGTGATATTGGTAGCATTTAATAGTAACCACAAAGTTCCTGCATGGTATAATTTTCATTTAATGCAGAATGGCAGAGTTAGAGGATATGAGGGAACTGTAGAGAAGTGTGGGGTTTTCCTTCTATATGAAGGCTTTATCCCTTTCCTAACTTTTTTTCATGACTAGCAGAGGAAGCCTGTACTAATCAAACAGATTCTGGAATTGAAATGCTTTTTAGTACATGATGAAAATGGTGACTTCATTAAGAGCTCCTCGTATATGGAAGTAGAAGATGATTCTAAGTAGGACTGTAACAATATACTTCATGTTCCTAAAATCCAAGTAGATGATGACTTTAGAAGACACATTTTAAGAGGAAAAAAAAAAACTTTTTTTTTTTTGGCTGCAAAGGCTAGGAAAATGCTGGAATATGATACTAAGGAATTTTCAGTTACTTTATTCATTAAAAATTTTCAGTTTATTACCTCAGAGGTCAGTATCAAAATAAAACAGATAAATGGAGACTGTAATAATAGCCATCTGTCTGGAGCTTTCCTGATCTGGTTGTGCTGGAGAGAGCAAGGATGGCTTATATTATCTTTGGATTTCTGTTTTAGACAGGATGTCAGAGAGGAGAATGCTGTGGTAAGGGGAGGAAGATGAAAGTCGTGTGAGCAGGTAATGAAATGTAACAACTTTAGGCAAGCACGAAAGATTGGGATGGTGGAATAGAAATCCAGCCCTTGAAAACTGGAAGGCAGACAGGCCACAGAGTGAAGGCTGTGGGTATGAGTGTTTGGATCAAAGGGGCAGTGACTCTGTTAATGAATAAAGAAAGTTATTTCAAATATGAAGGTGTAGGGAACATATAATTTGTTGCCGCCTGTGATAGTCTTGTTATGAGAATCAGAGTAAATCAGTAAAAGCCAATTTGCTTGAATCGAAAGTGGCATTTCGGAAGACTTTTAGTATGAGTTGTGCATTTCTCTTAAGATGCCATGTTATGCAAGAATGTCCACTGAATGGACTGATGAGGAAAATGAAGTACTAATTCTTAGTAACTGAACATAGCTGGGGGAAGAGGACCTGGGAAAAAGCTGAAATACATAAAGAACAAACAATACTCCTGGTATAATATCAGCTGCGCTTACTATAATAAGTCACAGAGAAATAGTCATTATGTTTCACATCTTTGAAGAAAGAATTGCAAATGTCAGACACATCTGATACATATTGTGCTTAATACCCAGTAACAAATGTTTGACTGGGAAGGACCAAGCTAGTGTGTGTCAAAGTAAGGCTTTCTCCTCAAACAGATATGCTGTTGACAGACGCATTGGTGTGTCCCCACATGTGATCCCTGGTTTCAACCACAGTCCCTGTTTTTAAAGTTTAGTTCTCTTGAGAGAGATTTTTTTTTTGTATCTAGTGGCCTTAATACCTGCTGTGCATACTTTAGCCCTTTGTCCCTAGAGATAGTTTTGCTATGGTGGCTATGGGGATATGTGAAAGGAAGGACTTTATTCTCAAACATTTAAAATTATTTGTTTATTCTGCTAAAGGAGATGTGAACTAGGGTCCTCTATCAAGGAGAGATGGCAAATGTGCTTTATCTCTACTCAGCACTATTTCTGGTTTCTTGGCATTGCCCAGGGAACAGTGAGGGTTCTGAATCGAGGGATTCACAGGGAGGTAGGGTGATTTTAATGTGGGTTTGTTATTTAGGGAGAAGTGTAACAAAATTCCACAGCTTCACACCTAAGGAAATGAAACATAAATATGAAGTACTTACTGTCCTAAATTCCTCTGTCAGCAATTATAATATTGAATGTTAAATCCCCACTTCCCAGTGAGGCTCTGGCATTTCATTAGAGAGATTTTTAAAGGATTATGGAAGCTCCTTAGGCTTTTAAGAAAACAGAAATTGTTTGAGGAACATGACATTATATCAGATAGTAAGAGCAGGCAAACCGAATTTTTTCCTGCATAATATATGTTAGAATCCTGAAATAGCAATTTTTGCAATGCAAGAAGCAGATGATTTTACACCACATTTTTGGTGAAAATAAACTGTATATACCCACACTGACTATATAGATGAGTTCCTAGTGTGTTTGTTGGCGCATGATGTGGCATCCGCCAATCCGTCTGATCTCCATGACCCCTCCTGCCAGAAGCTGCTCCTTCTGTTTCAGCTCTGGGCCTCCGTACTGCTCCTTGGCAACATCTAATTTGTTTCTAAACTCAAAGCTTTTCTGCTTGCCTTTTCCTTACTGTTTCCCCTGCCTGGAACTTCTCTCCCCAGGCCTTTCGCTCCCTTTGGAACTCTTCTGTGATTTCCTTATCAAGAAGGACTTACACTACCGCCCCTTCTCATAGGGCATTTTTTCCATTACTCTTTCTCCTCTGCCTTCAATTTCTTCATGGTGCTCCTGTTCATCAGAGGAAGTTGTTATTTTGTGTTCGTTTACTTTTAAGTGCTGTGAAATCAGGTTCTTGTTCACAAAAGGATTCTTATTCCTTAGTTAAGAACTCAATAACTGTCTAATGCTCAGATGGTTCAAGTGTATCATATAAACATATGTTTTGTTGGGCTGGCTGGCCTTTATTTTATAAAATAAAATTTTGCAAATCTAGAAGTTGTTTTTTTCCTTACCAGAACTCTGCAAAGATGAGATGGTAGGCTTTACCTTGTGTGCCTTGGTATTGAAGATTTGGAGTACTAATGACTCATTCCTTTTTCCTTATCTGGTGGATTCCAAGGGTATATAGAAATAAAATGAGAGTTGAATGGAGATTGATATATGTATATATAGCATTACACCAGACAATGTAGGGGTTTTGTAGAAACTAGATTTCAAGCAATTTGGTTTCAAGAATGTCCAGTGAACTAACCCTTTTTTGATTTGAATGTGTAGTAGGTCTGACCAGCAAGGGCTTATGGGCTGAAACAGAAGTCCTAGAGAGCACCGTCTTACTCAGCAGTGTACCAGTGGGCTGTGGAAAGACAAAATTGCACTTTTTCATATGCTTCCAAGAATGTGAACTTATGTACCATTGGCTATCAAATTCTCTCTGGTTAGATTTACAAGTTCTCCTTACATGGTGATGATTCAGTGAGCAGGCAGATGGAGAAAGTGGGGGGATATTACCTGCTTCACATCCCTCAATGGGAAAACAAGCAGTACTCTCCTCTTCTGTGGTGCAAAAGGGAAGGGTTGCAGTTATAGTCACTATTGGGTTAATAATATCCCTTAGTTATTGTGGGCTGATCAGGTCCACAATCTCCTGAACAAGTACATAGCAAAGGATAAATAAAAAGAGGCAAATGGAATGATTTCAGAGCTCCAGGAGGATCAAAACCCCTCAAGAATTTGAGATTCTCTTGGGGCTGAGACCATGACTTCTCTGAGTGGCCTGTATTTACTTAGTTATCAAAAGAAGGGAGGGGAGTACTCAGGAAGGGCAGAACCACCTAGGACTTCTCCAAGTAAGGTATTAAATTAATCTACCCAGGAGTGTGATGCCTGAGGCTATACTCTTTATCCAGCTGAGATTGAATACAGGTGTCCTTGGCTGTGATCTTGTCTTATCCTTCAAGGCTTTCTAGCTTCTTATAAACCTTAGTAGGGATTATTGACTCACCCAGGTTCGCTTACTGAGTCCACTGCCCATCTCCAGGCAAGGAGCCTAGGCCTTGGACAGACTCACAAGTAAACATGGAAAGCCAATTGGTTAATTTAAGTCTTCTTCACCGCTGCTTTGTAGTGGTCTCCATAAAGTCACCCCCTGAATAACTGTGATTATAACACAGTTATTAAAGTCTGTCTACAAAGATAAGTAATTTTGATCAGAAAACAACTATCAACACTGGATGTTTCAGAGAGTTGCTTGCAATTCTGAGTCATCTAGGTATCTGCCATATTAGAGAGTAGGCTCTGTTTGTACCTGTGTTTGAGAGAGGAATGCTTATTCATTCAGCATCTATTTGACACCTGTCAAGAAAAAGTTGCACGCTCATGAAAAAAAAATCACGTCTTAACCCTGATACATTTAGTATGGTTAATACTCTTTCAAGTGGAGACTTAAGAGCCTTTTATGTTTCAGGTTCGTGGGAGTAAAGGAGAAGTTCTATACATTTTGGATGCTACCAACCCACGACACTCCAACTGGCTTCGCTTTGTTCATGAGGCACCATCTCAGGAGCAGAAGAATTTGGCTGCCATTCAAGTGAGCTTCCTTGCTTTGTATTTGTACTACGTATTGTGAGGGGAATGAATTAATTTATAACTGTACTCCCTGTTTTAAATTTATTTCCCAATGACCTGCTTCAAATAACAGTAACTAACTCATAAAAGTGGAGAAATCTCATCTAGTCAGCATATGCAGGAAAGGGCAAGCCTAGCTATAAACTAACACCATATCACTCACTTTATGAGAATTCTTGAGGGAATGAATTATACAGTTTGATATTGTCCTTGGCAGATCTTGCTTTTAAGTACTTTTATTTCATTCAGTGAATGTTTCTTGATAGGTATTTTGGTTTGGTAGTTTTTTGGTTCATAGTACTATAATCTGGGTTATGGTTTGAGAAAGGCTTCATGGAGGGAGTTCAGTTGAGAACATTCCCCATAGGTAGATGTTGAGCCTGTAAGTTAGGGTTCTTCAGAGAGACAGAACCAATGAGAGATATTTATGCATGTGGCTATGGAGATTTATTTTAAGGAATTGACTCATATGATTATAGAAGTTATCAGGTCCAAAATCTGCACAGATGATGTCCCATTGACTCCAAAGACTAGAACCAGAAAGTCTGCTTTGAAGGCCAACTAAGCAAGCAGAGCCAGTGGGCTCTTTAATTCAAATACTGTCAGGCAGAATTCACTCCTTTTGGGAGTGGTGTGGGGGTTAGACTTTTTTCTATTTAGACCTTCAGCTGATTGGGTGAAATTTACCCGTATTATGCTAGTGAGTACACTTTACACAAGCCTACTGATTTAAGTGTTAATCTTGCCTCAAAACTGTCACAAAAACAGCTAGAATAATGTTTTGCCAACTACCTATCACCACATGGCCCAGTCAGGTTGACACATACAATTAATTATCATAGGCAGGAACCATGTTTTACTGAGTTCTGTTTTCCTCTGTCCTAGTATACTGCTGCCCTTAACACTGGGCTGTGAGACAAACAGTGAGGTACATTTAGGTGATCTCTCAATGGAAATGAAGGCAAGAAAATTAAAAAATGCAGCTTTTTCAGAGGCTCTATAATTAAAAGGTATTGCCCAGATAAGTAAGTATATTAAGTAACATTGTATTCTGGCAGAAAATTAGTTCACTACATGTGAAAGTTCAGTCTGCTGAATCCTAAGTTACAGAAAAGAGAGTAAAGCCATGTTTATCATAATAAAGAAGGGACAGGAAATGAATAAGGAAATTAACAATATTTGTGTATCTACCATATGGATTGTTCTAGAAACTTCGTGTACATCAGATCAAAGTTCATAGTAACTGTGATAATTTGGTAATTTATTGATTTCATTCAACTTGGAGTATAAAATCAATAGTAGCAAGAGGGAAAATGTATGGAGTTTCAGTTTCAAAGCAACCAACAAAGTCACAAAAATATGCCATTTCTTAATCTTTTTGTCTGACCATTTTCTTTCAGGCTATCTAAATGTTAGATAGTCATTGTGATTACTCTATGTATGTGGTAAGTCTTACCCAGCAGCTGAACTGGGATGGAAAATAGGATCTTCAGTAGTCAGGGGTATTGAAGCCACTTTTCATATTATTTGTGATGTAACATAGATCCAGTCACAAGTTTAAGCTGATTTTTAAATTTTTTATCTGTGTAGGTGTTAATCTGGTCTTTTTTCAAGTATTTTTTTATTTTTTCATGACTTCCTGAGAGAAAATCATCTCACGGGATCTTATGTCATAATTTTAATATATAGACTTAGCTTGTTTCTATGTAAATATTACTACTATCAGGATTATCTTGAATATGAAATTCACTTAAAGCTGATTACTTTGGAACGTTCTCCATTATTGTGTTTGTAGACAATCTGATTCTCCTTTTTTCTTACCTTACGTTTGAATAATTGTTTTAAGCCTTTTTCAAATTTTTTTGACTTGAGAACTTTGTTCCTATTGGCTGTCATTTCCATAGAGTCAATAGCTTTCTTCGTTTTCTAAAGTTTCAAGGTGTTACATGCTCAGCTTTGAGTTTTGCCTCACACTGCTTCAAGTAATCCTCCCGTGAGCACATTCCTTATCTGTGCATTGTGCTTATCACTATCCTTTAATTAGTGGAAAGCTTGGTTGACACATGTTTATCTTGATCTTTTACTATGCAAATTTGCTATTGTACTGTGCCGTATAGTTCATCATATTGTAGACAATTGTATGCTTTTATTTTATGTTTTTGTTTTTAGTAATCATGTTTCCTAAGACTCACACAGTTTTAATGCTCCTTTGGCACATTCACAGTACTTCCCTTTCTCTATGTCAACTCTATTCTTTCCTTAAAAAGGAATATAAGTTTACAAAAGAGGACAGCTGCAGTTTTGGTATTCCAAGACATTACTAATAACTTAACAAGGGAGCAAGGTGAAGATGAGAATAGAAAGGACTAGTGGCTCTGCGAAATTTTACGCTTGAATTTAATTACACTCTAAATCTGTTCAGTGGCCACTGTGAGAGTCATTTGGTGCAGAAATAGTGACAGTGGCTTTAATTTCTTTTACTATTGTTTTGCCCTCTCTTAAATGGGGGATTAAGTGCACTGTTACCATGTTCTTCGTTATGCAGCACAATAGGGATTTTTGTTGGCTCCCTTGAGGTAAACTCTTTCTTATTTGAACAGTAGCAGTAGTAGCCAGTTGCTGAGGCTTCAGAATCACATCTAAGCAAGGGGCAAAGAGCATAGCGGTTGGGTCACATGGCTGAAAGCTATGTCAGCCTTCTAATTGGGTGGGATGATCTCCTGAGGCTTGCATTCCAGAAACACTGTGTTGGTAAGAGAAGATCATAATGTTTCCTGCATTACATTATGAATCACTTACATTCCAAATTGCATCTGAAATTTGGGGTATGCAGGAAATTTTTTATTTAAGCTGTATGTCCCAGGAGTGGAGCAAATGAGAAACATTTGTGGCTATGTGGCTTACTTGGTGGAAAACGTCAATACTTGGTCCAATTTTTTTGGACAAGGGATTAAGAATTTGAGGTCTGTTTTGGCAGAGAATTGGAACTCATTCTTGGAGACTTGATTATATTTCTAGTTTTGCAATTTATTTGATTTTGGAAAATTTGCTTTGGAAACGATGATATAAGTATCTGAATTACTGAAGAAGGATCTAGTAAGCAAACAATTCTTCCCACATGCACACTTTTCACAATAATCAGTTAAACTGTATATTCAGACTTCTGAAAAGTTTCCAGCTTTGACTAGAAAATTGTAAATGTGAACGATGTGGCTTAAAATGAACCAAAAACATTCTTAGGTCCTATAAAAAGGAGGTGATTCTTATTAAATGTTATGTTGGTTGCACTTACAATAGTATTTGAAAAAAAGTTTATCCTAATCAGTGTTTTGCAGACTCTTAAACTCTTTTTTGATAGAAAATTAATTAAACTTACTCAATGAATATTAAAAAAATTCCATTTATAATTAGAACTTTAAATTTTTGGAAATTTCTGAGATAGAATGTTATATCTCTTTTTCTTAAGGACATGTTCCTTAAAGACTATTTGGTTCACATTGTCAGCATTAGTGGAAAGGTGACTCAGTGTTTTAAGAAAAAAGGAACACATGGAAAACCTTTGGTGACTCATTTACTTTATGAGGGATGTCAGGGTATAAGGATGCTCTCCATGAGTTGAGAAAACTGGGTATCAAGCTGATATGCTAGCATAGCTTAATTCCAATTCTGATGTCATTTTAGATTCCTTGTTAGAAACAAAACTATTTTCTCATAGATTATTAAATTTCTTTTTCCTGCCTTGCCTGAGGGTGGACCATAATAGGCAGTGTGGACATACATGAAATCAGAGTGATTGAGTAGGGGATCATATATGAATCTAAAGCAGAGAAGCAATTTAGGTTTTTTTAAAGCACATATAGGACTTTTTCTATTGTCGCCAACCCACTAGGATCCACAGGCTTATCAAATCAGTCAGATAGTGTTGATGGACAATTCAGGTAGAAATAAGGCCAACTAAGTAATCAAGCAACAACAAAATAAATATCACCATGATTTATCACATACACAAAATAACAGTTTCTTCTAGTTCTTCTCTATTTCTGTTCCTTATAAGATTTTGTACAAATGGTATGTGAAATGCTCCCAAGAGTCTCATGTGTTCAGAGGTGAAGCTTTTGGAAGGTAACTGGATCATGTTGGTAGTATACTCATGCACTCAGGAATGTGTTGTTAGAAGTGTGTCACTGGGGCGTGACCTGGAAGTGTGTATTCTTGTTTAAGACTCCTCCCTTCTCTCTATGCTTCTTGGCTTCTAAGGGTTGAGCAGTTTTTCTCTGCCATGCCCTTCTAAAGTGCTGTTTTTTCCTTGGAACAAACCAACGATGGACTGAACCTTATGAAGCTATAAACAAAAATAAATTCTTTTAAGTTAAAGGAGGTGAGTATTTTGTTACTGTGATGAGAAAGTGACTAATACATAGTATATCTACAATATTTTCTAGAATCTGTCTGCTAAAAATTAGTAAAGTATAAAATATTACTCAGATTTCCCATTGCTGGGACAAAATACCCCACACCAACAACTTAAGGAGAAGAAGCTTAACTCATGGTTTCAGAGGTTAGTCCATGGTTGGCTGGATCCAGTGCAGGAACATCTTGCCAGAGGGTATAGTGGAGCAAAATTTCTCACTTCATGGCCACCAGGGAATAGAACAGGGCAAAAGTGCCAGCTAGAAATATATTTGATTAGGTGGGACATTTCTGTGTCTTTCATCTGAGAAATTGTAGAGGCAGTTTCCTCTTTTATCCCCACTGAAGACGGACCTTGCTTCCCAGGGTCGGTGGGGGAGAGGCAACCACAGAGAAAGAGATATACAGGAAACAGAGGATGATCTGTAAGCTGTTGTAGTCTCTCAAAAGTAACATATAGCAAATGACATCCCTTTTTTGTCCAGATTTTACTTACATAATCCAACCCTGATACTGTGCAGGAGAGGACTACATGGGGATGTGAGTACCAGA